TGAGTTTTACTGTCTAATTTACTTTGTGCACATTTCTTTTTGGTATTGTCCTCCCCTTCCCTTTTTTGATTGTAAGCCGCCCTGAGTCCCCTCAGGGAAAAGGGCGGCCTATAAATAAACAAATCTAAATCTAAATCTAAATCTGCTCTGCATGAAGGGCACCTGTGGGCTGCTGTGCCCTCCGCGTCGACTGGGGCCAGGGGCTCCCGGGGGAACATCTAAGCAGCCCCCCCTGGCGAAGCTCACATGGATGGCGACCTCTGGGGAACCATCCCAGATCGGCCCCTGTGGCAGAAATGGGATTTGGGTTTTCCCTTCAGACAAGGGGCACCTCAGACCCCCCCCCCAACAACCCTGCAAAGCAGCCCCCGGGCATCAGACTGCCGGCTTCCTCTTGGGAAGCCCCTCAGCCAGGGAATGGCTCGGCCGGGCCGTTGAACCAGCAAGAGGCAACCCGAGAATGGTGGGGAGTTGCTGAGGCCCTGGAGCTGGAAAGGCTCCTGGAGGCCGGGGGGGCTCCCCTCGAAGCCAACCGGAGTTGGCCTTGGTAACCAAGCCCTGTGATTGGGGCCTTCTGGAGCTCCTTCAGCGGCATCGTCTGGTGCCTGATCACCCCGGCTGCCCTTCTCCCACCCGGTTCCAACTTCCATGCGTGGCCTCCCCTTGGGCCCCGATCTGGCCTCAAGTGGCAGATCCCGTCTTGTGATTTGGCCACTCAACCTCTGGGATTTCAGCCTAGAACAGGATTCCTCTTTCCTGCCCCACAAAACTCTTCTCCCTCACTCACTCTCAGCACCTGAGCAATTACTTTTTCAGCCCCCAACCTGCTGCCTCTGATTCCCGAAGGAAGAAAATTGCATTTGTCTCTGTGAAGTTTCCTCTTGCCGTGTCCAGCCCGTTTTTTATAACCAGGAGCACCGTTTATATCTAATCTCTCCCTATTTCTCTACCTCAACCCAAACCGGATTTCAGGGGGAAATAAAACCTTGGGGAGGGGGGAGGGGGTTGAATCTGACTGCTGTCCTCTCACCCTACAGAGGCCCACAGGCTTCCACCACAAATCCGCAAAGCCCTTATCCGCGGAGACATAAGCGTGAAGACTAATTCGCGCCGTTCGAAGCGCTAAGGAAAAACGCGACCCTAC